AGGGCAGAGCTGCCAGATTTAGCAGATGAAAAAGCAACAGCAGGACGCCCAATTACATTAGAATGTAAGTAATTTTAAAATTCAAATGAACTGGGCCCCCTGTATTTTATCTGGCGATCCTGGAGGTGGGGGTGAGGGTGGGAGGGCTTGGGGAGGTGTTCATGCCTCACCACCAGGCGGCCTTTCTGGCCTCGGGCCCTCCTGCTGTTAGGAACGTTTGTCCCCTGGGCAGGGCGGGCCACCCTCTGACCTACTTGGCCTCCAGCAATCACCCTCCTTGGCCTTGAGCAGGCCCAGCCTCTGCCAGGTCCCTGCTTCTCAGCTGAGTTCATTGGAATCGTCGGCCCAGGCTGCGCCCCCGGCCAGCCACAGCGGCATCTCTGGGGTTAGACTGTGGCATCAGGGGGTGCCAGCCTGCAGCAGAGGCTGAGATCCACGGTGAGACCCGCTTCTTTGCTGCCTTTGCCTCCTGGGGAGCCCTGGGCCCTCCCAGACTCCCTTTTGCAAACCGCCCTGCGCGGGCCCTCTGCCCCGGCCCCTCTCTGCCCTTTCGGATCGATTCTGAGTTTAGATTCAGACAACAGTGTCTGTCTACCCCAGGCCGGCAGGGAAGCAGAGGCTGGAGTCCCCACTGGCATCCCCGTGCCCCCCATGTCCTGACCGACCACAGGCGATGGCATCTGCAGCGCTGGGGGGAGCCCCCTCGGTCAGGGTCAAGGCCAGGCAGAAAGCAGGTTGCTTCCTGAGCCCAGTCCTGGAGGCCAGGCCAGGTCTGTAACACCGCCCAGCCCCCCCTCCTCTGCTCGCCGGCGCGCAGTGTCAGTGCCGCTCTCTTCCACACTGGACGCGGCCCCCGGAGGGCAAGAGGCGGATCTGTCTTCTGTGTCCCCACAGTGGGGCTCAATGACTACTTGTGCCATCGGTGGGTGACCCTGCAGCAATCCTGAACTCCAGCCCCACCCCCTCCCCCCTCCTTGCACAGGGAAGGCAACAGAGGCACAGAGAGGGCAAGGGCCCTGCCCCGTGCACCGCAGGGTGGCGGCAGAGTTCCCACCGAAACTCACGGTTCTGATTCCCAAACCAGGGTTCCCCTGGCTTCCGCTGCCCCACTCCCTCAGCCTTGTTGTGAGCCATCAGCTTCTCTTCCATGTGAGATCGCCCGCCTGGCCCTGCAGACACTTCCCCTCTTCCCAGAGCTTCACTTTCTGGAAGGATCCGGGTGACCCTGGCTGTGCGCGGGGACCAGGCAAAGGTGGCAGGAGAGCTGCTATCTTCTGTGCAGACACCGGCAGTCCCTCCGGCCAGAAGCCTCCTCCGCAAATAGGTGGCAGGGCCTGCGGGAGCCAGGACTTCTGCTCTGACGGCGGGAGCCAGACTTTGCCCTCTCGGCCAGGGCCTCCTCTCACCTGGGGGAAGGGACTGCGTTGCCACCAGCCTGCCTCTTCCCGGGCCGGTCACGACCCCAAGGGTCCCTGGAGGATTCGGAGTCACCTGGAGCCGGTTCTCGAGTCGAATCGCCCCCTTTGCTGACTGTGAGACCTCGCTGAGGCCCCGTTTCCTGGTCAGAAATATTGCCCTGGTGGGCGGTGGCAGGGATTCTAGGCATGGCCCTTGGCACACAGTAGGTGCTCAGTCAACGTGTTTCCCTGCGCCTTATCCTGGGGTACTTTTGTTTGTTTGCTTTTATATTTTTATTGATTTCAGAGGGAGAAGGAAAGAGAGAAACATCAATGATGAGAATCACTGATTGGCTGCCTCCTGCACGCCTCCCACTGGGGATCAAGCCCACAACCCGGGCATGTGCCCTGACCAGGAATCAAACTGTGACCTCCTTGTGAGCTGCCTGCAGGGCAGGGCAGTGACTGAACATCTGCTCTTATCGCCTGCGAAAGACCTTCCTCCCGTCTGAAGCCACAAGGCGGCTTACCACATCCTCGGCTCAGAAGGCCACAAACACCTCAGAACCTCTCACGTATGTAGGGTTCCCATGTGTACGTATGTAACGGTGGGGGGATTTGCTCTTGTTAACATGTCTCATGCAGGTTTAAGGAATGGACCATCCAGAAGAGCCTACAAGGAGAGAGGACGCTTTCTGCCTCACCACAGTGGAATCGCACACTATTGGTCCTTCTGCGTCCAGCTCATCTCACTTAGCACGCTGTCTGCAAGATTCCTCTTGGTGCGGCGTGTGTCAGAATTTCATCAATTTTTTAAGGCTGAGTAATTTTCCATTCTACGTATGCACCACATTTCACCTTTCAGTGGGCATTTGGGTTGTTTATACCTTTGGTAATAATGATGATAATGATGACAATAATCCTATACTAATAAAAGACAAACATGCAAATTGACCTACTTTTGCTATGCTAGGAAGCCAAGTTTTCCGCAGGCCTCCACTAAAGGCAACAAAGTTTTAATTATGGAAGGTAAATAAATCCCAGAAGAAAAGAAAAAAGAAAGAAAAAAAGAAGAGGCTGGGAGCTTACATTGCCAGGAGCTTACGTTGCTTGGCCAGCCTGAAAACAGCCATCAGCCCCTCACCCAGGCTGGCCAAACCTCCATGGGGTGAGGGTCCTCACTGGGGGTGGACATCCTCCAAGGA